GACCTATGATGCGCCGGGAAAGCAGGGCAAGACAGCCCTGGCCGGAGCGGCAATGATGGTCGGAGACGACGAGGAGAGTGACTACGAGGAGTGTGCCTTCGCGTTCTTCTCTCCGGTGGAGATGCCGGGAGAACCAGCAACTCTCAAGGAGGCTTTGGAGAGTAGTGATGCTGAGGAGTGGAAGAAGGCCATGGAGAGTGAGCTGAAGAGCATCGAGGAGAATGACACGTTTGAATTGGTGGAGCTACCGGAGGGGCGTACGGCGATAACGTCCAAGTGGCTCTTCAAAATCAAGTCGGATGCCGACGGCAAGATCGAGCGCTACAAGTCTAGGCTTGTAGCCAAGGGGTACCATCAGAAGGAGAAGGTGGACTTCAAGGAGCTGTTTGCCCCTGTGGTGAAGCCGACGACGCTGCGAACCCTATTCGCGGGAGCCGCCATCAAAGGATGGGTAGTAAAGCAAATGGACATCGTAACGGCATTCCTTAACGGCATCCTTGAGGAGGAGATTTTTATGGCGCAGCCAGAGGGGTTTGATGATGGTAGTGGCAGAGTGTGGAAGCTGAAGAAGGCCCTCTATGGGCTGAAGCAGGCCCCTAGGCAATGGTACATGAAGCTGCGCGAAGTGTTGGAGGGGATCGGCTTCACTCCCTCAACGGCCGATCACTCCTTGTTCATGCTTGGCGAGGGGGAGCAGAGGAGTTTCATGGTGGTTTATGTGGATGACATCCTCATTTTCTCACCCTCTTCTGACCTTGTGAAGGAGGTGATGCTGAAGCTTCAAGACAAGTTCAAGTGCAAGGCCCTTGGTGACGTGAGCTTCTACCTTGGGCTCCACATCGAACGAGATGTGGAGAAGCGGTGCATGCGGGTGCATCAACGAAAGTACCTGGAGGCATTGGCTGCCAACTTTGGGCAGAGTGAAGGCCATGTGGCTACACCCTTTCCCTCTGGGTTCAAGTGTGTGAAGGGACCAGAGGAGGAGAGCGTTGGTGAAGAGGAGAGGCGCCGATTTCACTCGTTGGTGGGCAGCCTCATGTATGCGGCGGTAAACACCCGACCGGACGTCGCGTTTGCTACCGGGCAGCTGGCTAGGGTTGTGCAATGCCCTAATGAGGAGCAGGTAGCAGCTGGAATGAGGGTGGCCAAGTATCTTGGCCAAACACCGACCGTTGGGCTGCAATACTCGGCGGCGGCACAAAGGCGCCAAAAGGGCGCGGATGGTGTTGAACCCGGGCGTTTGTTCCTCACCGCCTACTCGGATGCTTCATATGCATCAGAACCAGAGGACATGACAAGTGTGGGAGGCTTCATATGCTGTGTTGGTGGAGGCCCAACAGCTTGGGAGAGCAAGAAGCAGGTTGACCAAGCTTTGAGCTCGGTGGAGTCCGAGTACATGGCACTCTTCCGTGCCGTACGGGAGATTGTGTGGCAGCGGCGTTTGTTGGCTGAATTGGGGGAGGAGCAGCAAGGACCTACCCCACTGTACTGTGACAGCCAGGGTGCCATTGCTCTTGCTAAGAACCCTGTGTTGCATGGACTCACGAAGCACATGAGGGTGAAGTGGCATTGGACGAGGAGCATGGTAACCGCGGGTGAAGTTGAGTTGCGCTACGTGAAGACCACGGGGCAGCCGGCTGACATGATGACCAAGAGGCTGGTGGAGCAGCAGCATTGGAAATGTTGCAAGCTGGCTGGGATGGCTCTGAACTGAGAGAGCAACATATCCTAAGGCCAACAATCCGAGGGGGAGTTTGTTGGTGCAACCCTACGTTTTGCACTCGGCTTGTTGTCCGTGTGCGTGAATGTGTGTGTGTATGGAATGGTATGAGGGCATGGGATAATATATATTTCATGCTTATAATTGTGTGTGAATGTTGAGTCATGATGTCGAGTGTGTGTGTCGAGTCAATAGCGAGTTATCGCTAGACGCGTGTTACGCGGTCGTTTGTGTCTCGCGCGCGGTTTCTATTTTGTCGTGCGCGGTTTCTATTTTGTCCTGTGTCGAACGTTCGGCGTGTCGCAGGTGTGTGCAGCAGACCCATGAAGAACTCAAGGATGAGTTTGTGATGAAGAGCCCGAGCCTTGGTGTCAAGCCTCAAGTGATTTCGAAGCTTGCCAAAAGGGTACACCTCAAGATATTGAAGATAGTTACATTACTTTGTGTAGTGTAACATTTCACTTGGTGTAGGCCCTAGTGAAGGGTAGTTTCGAGACCCTTCGTGGTTGGGGACAGTGTCGCACTGTTCCACATCACTGTACCTCGGCTCTTGGGGTTTGTAGGAGCTGGGAGTCATTCCCAACTCGTAACTCTTCCTATCTTGTGTTCTAAGACTATAGTGGCTGCCATAGTACCGTTCGTTCAAACCGACGCTGTGTCGTCAATTCTTTATCAAATCGTGCAATCTAAATTGCTAATTGTAGACGACGTGAAGATGCTCCAGATCCAATTTGAATCAAGTCATTTGCAGCTGTGATCAGAACGCTATCAACGTTTGAAGCCGCTGTGCAGAAATCCGTCTGTGCTCTCTATCTTTCGTTTTAGGCACATTCAAGCCTATTGTGACTATAACAGGTACCGCGTACCTACTCCCCTGTACTTTGAGGGCCAGCGTGTGCTGGAGCTTGATGTTCGACCGAGAGAGCCGCTCCTGATCAACTACGTCGCGTGCGTCTGAGGGCAGGGCTGTCTCGCACTCTGTGAGCCAGGAATGAAGCGGTGTGGTGACGTCCCGGGGCAGAATCATGTGGCTGTGTGCTCGGGTCAGTGCTGTATCTGGTGTTAGCGTCAGGGAGGAAAAGAAGAGTGCGGCCTGCGTGAAGCTGGCTACGAAGCCGTAGACGCCTTCTACGTGTGGGTCCGTGATTCCTAGGCCGCCCAGGGAAGATGGAAGCGAAGCCTGCGCCCACACTCTCGTCTGCTCCGTGCTACATGTAGGGACTCTAATCCCGCAGGATGTCAGGATCGCGGCTAGGAGGTCTCTCCCCCACTGTGCCCAGGTGTCTCGTGGAAGAAGGTTCAGTGGTGTGGTCCTAGTGAGGTATGCTACGCGTCTGGAAATGCAGCGGGTAAGGAGCAGGGAGGCTACTTGGGGGTCGGCACGTTCTAAGAGCGGCAGCGGCTTCGCCATTTCTTCTAGCTGCCCCGCAAGGAATTTGGCGGCGCCGGCCGCTGGCCCCAGGAAGCTGCCTAGAAGGCGTATCCCGTCCTTTGAAAACGGGACCCCTGGTGGCAGCTGCGTTGACTCGTCGCCGCTTGTGCTCCATGCAGCACATTTCTGTGGGTTATGTTTAAGCCCCAGCTGCGCTAGCTTGCTCGTGGAGAAATTGAATGCTGCTACAGTGTCCGTGTCATCCCCCAAAAATGTCACGTCGTCTGCATACGCCAAGCAGAGTACGTGGGGGTGTGCTTCGGCAGTTTTGCGAAGGGCTGGGTGAATCCCTACCGCGAACAGTAGAGGGCCGAGTGGGTCCCCCTGCCTCACGCCGCGTTCACTGTTTAGCGGGTGGCTGGCGAAGTTCGAGTCGAGAGACAGCTTCGACGGGTTACCGTACGTTAGCCGCACCAGAGGGAGCAGTAACGAAAGGTTGTTGTCGCGTAACCCGTCGATGATTGCCTGTCGCAAAATGCTGTTAAAGGCGTTTGAAATGTCGGTCTGTAACACCACGCAGCAGTCTCTCGAGTCAACGAAGGCACGTGCGACATGGATGTTTGCCTCAGCTCCCCCTGGTACCGCCACCCCGTACTGTAGTGGCAAGAAGTGGTCACGTGCAGCTTCCCCAATTGCGGTCAGAGCTGCCTTGGCCGCGAGGCGCGTCAGGCATTCGCCAATTGCAATTGGCCGAACCCCCCCACCTGGCGTGGACAGCGCGATTAGGCGTGACGTTGTCAGCAGGTCTGCCACTGGCTCGGGTAATTTGCCTGCTAGGATGGTGTTGACTAGGGCATGCAGATGGGTGCAGACCGATGCGTTGGTTGCAGATGCGTTGCGCAGGTGTTCGAATGCGGTTCCGGACGGTCCAGTCCCCACCCCATTTTCGCACCGACCCAGAAGTTTGGAGAAATCGGCTTGGCTGATTTGCAGGTTCGGGCCAGGTGTTGTTGGCCAGCTCAGCTGCTCGTTGACGGCTCGCGGGTGTTTCGCGCGAAGTTCATCCAAGATTGTTGGGCCCGGCGTGCAGACTGGGGTTGACTCGAGGGCCAGCACGGCTCGGCGTAGACTTCCACGCTTGGCCAGGCCCTCCGCCCTGCTGAGTACTCCCGCCTCGTCAGGCTGGTGACGTGGAGGCGGTGGGGTGTTGATGGCTTCTATTGCGTCAGAATACAGCTGCCCCCATTCGCCACGCTGGAAAGCTCTGAGACGGGCTTTGACTTCGGGCCACTTCGGTCTTCTTGGCGACATTTGGCGAAGTGTGAGCCGAGGGAGAAACAGCAGCAGTCGCCACCCTGCGACCGAGTCCGGATTTCGCGCGAGGTGAAGGAGCGGGGTGAGTAACACCAGTGAAAACAGCTGACACAAATTGGGCGGTAATCGGCGCGACAGGGATGGCTGACGACTATCGCATAGGGCCGCCAAGTCCCAATCAGGGATGGCTGCGAACAGGTCTGTTCGCTTCGCCAATTTCTCTGGCGAGAAGTAGCGGGGGAAATGTGTTTGATTTGCTGATGCGCTGCCAGAGCGCGCGGTTTGATTCCTGTCCGTGAGTTGGAATCGTAGCCGTCCGATTCGCTTGTTGCACTCCTCCTACCTCGCCCGTCTCATGCTCAGCAGCTTGCCTCCCAGGCCTTAGCCTCCCAGCCTCATCAATTTCTTCCTCGTCATCTTCACTTAGTGGGAGCGGCTCCTCCCTATAAGAAGGATCCCCTTGATCCTCCTCCTCATTAGCCCTTTCCAGAGCTGTTAAAGCCCGTCGCCCTGCCGTTTGGATGCCATTCTCCGGTCCACCTCCTTCGCCGCTAGCTGTCACTCTCCCTCTGCCTCGCCCTCCTCGGCCCCTCGATGGTGATTGCTGGGCCGACCGATTATTCGCCAATACGCGCTGGCGCTGCGTCGGTTGCGTACGAAAGGCCACCGCCTGCCTCCGGAACGGGGACCATGTCGACGGGCTCCCCGACGCTGCCTACTCCGAAGCCCGTAACAGAAGACGCTGAAATCCTTCCTCGCCCCGCACCGTCGCTTCGCGAGGCCCTGGCGTCTCTGCCTGGCGACGGTGGTCGCCAGGCTCCCGTGCTGTCTGCACCTCGTCCCGTCGCGCCGCCTGTCCCTCTCGCTGCGACGTCTGATGTGTCTGCTCCGCCTGGCGCTCTTCAAGCTGCCGACCCCGTCGCTCCATCTGCGGCCGCCGAGCGGGCGGTTGTTGCTGGCGGCGTGACGGCCCAGTCGGTGGGGTCCGCCACCACTGACGTCCAGGGCCAGACGGCGCTTCCCGCCTCTCCGGCTCCCCCGTCTGCACCGCCTCCGACGCTGGCGCCTCCTCCGCCTGTGCAGGCGGGATCTGCTCCTGCACTGCCCGTGGCTGTACCTCCCGCGCCTCCTGTGATTGCGTCCCCTGCACCGTCCGTGGGTGCTCCTCTCGCATCGCCTGAAGTTGCTCCTGTTGCTCAGCCTGATGTTGCACCGCCAGCTCCGCACGTGGCGGGTCCGTCTGCGCCGCCTGTGGCCGTTCCCGTTGCGCCGCTGGTGGCAAATCCCTCTGCGCCGTGCGCTCCGCGTCCGCAGTCTCCTGGCCGTCGTCAGCAGAGGCCCCAGTCCCCTGCGCGGCAGGACGAGCGCGAGACGTCCCGGCGCCGCCACAATTCCCCGCGTCGCCGCGGTTCCCAGGCGAACTGGGCAGCGCAACGTGGTGGCCGAGGCGGCTGGTGGGGGCCGCGTCAGCGGGGTGGCGGCTTAGGGTATGATCAGCCGGTGACGATGGCTGACCTGCAGCGCGCAGTATCTGCTGCTGTGCGCGAGGAGCGGAACGGGCAGGCGAGCCAGAGCAACTCCCCGCGTGTTGCTCAGACCCCCGTGGCACCCCCTCCAACTGCACCTCCTGCCCAGGCTGCCCCTCGTCCTCCTGCGATTGCTCCTCCTCCTCATGTTCCCGCCGCTTCAACCCCTGTCCCGGGGAATCACCGCCAGGTGCCGTGGATCCCCCCTGTGGCGGGGGTCGAGTTTTTGACCGCGGCTGGTGGGCCCGTGACTGCGCAATATCCATCCCGGCTGTCTGTTGATCCCCCTCCCCCGTCCGCAGGTGCGGCGCACTCGTTCTCGGCCCTGCTGGGGCCTCAGCGTCCGGTCGCGGTTCCGGAGGTGACCCTTGGTCAGATCTGGCGCCTCTCGGAGGCTCTGCGGGCCGTGCATCTGGTGCAGGTGTATGGTCATGCCGCCTTGTCCCAGGGCGACTCACTGGTGGGCGGCCCTCGGGATGATTGTTTCGCGGCAGCTGATCGCCTCGCCGAGCTGCTAGCGCCCGTGTTGGCTGCGCCCGCGTCGGGTGGGCTTGCGGGGGTCGGGCCCCTTGGTTCGGCCGTACGTGGGCTGCGGCGGTTGTTGCATGCAGGGACTGGATCCGGGGCGATCGCCGCAGGCACGGTGTTGGTGCGTGAGCTGCATCGCACGCTGTCGGGGCTGCTTGCTGTGTTTGACGCGGATCAGATGTAGCGTCCGCGTGCCCTAGGAGCTCACCGCTTGTGGATGCGGGCTCCTCTTGCTCCATGCTTCACCTAGGCTAGAGTGGGGTGTCCCATGCTTGTATGCATGCCTATATTTGCTTGTCTTGCGTGTTTCTTGGGTTAGAAGGAATGAACCCGCAGCTGAATAATGAGGAACAAACCAGGCCCAAAGGCCTTATAAACTAGGGGTGTGGGGGGCTGAGAGGCTGAGAGGCTAAGGGGCTAAGCTATGCCTCTCTCTCTCTCTCTCTCTCTCTCTCTCTCTCTCTCTCTCTCTCTCTCTCTCTCTCTCTCTCTCTCTAATGGTCCTTGTATTGATAGAGGATCAAAGTACATGCATGCAGGTTTATGGAATACTAGAACAAAGCTTGCAACACATCATATCCTACCAACTACCTCCTCTAGAGCTCCAGGTAGGGCTCAACCACCGCAAAACAGTCCCCTGGGTGAAGCTCCTGACCGATTCCTCCTACAGGCGGGTTCTCTGCTGCTGCCGCCTCGCCCAACTTGAGAAGGAGACCCACCGATTGGGCCCTCTGAAGGGCCAATGACCAGCGCTGCCGGAATAAGTGCAGAAACTTGGTGGCATAAAAGGATTTAGAGGCGGCGTTGAAGTGCCGCCGAGCCGCTGTATCTGCGAGTAGCTTTAGGAAGACCGGGACTTCTGCGCACGGGCAGCCATAGGTGTCCACCGCCAGTGGAAAAACCCCACTGTCTCTGGCCGGTTGGCATGGTGCTTGATCTTCTTATCCGCTTGTTCCCGAGCCGCCCAGCCCCTGCCCTTCTCGGCCGCTCGGTCCCTCGTGCTAATGGGATATGTGATGGTAACGTCGCACACGTAAACCGCCCCACTGCTTCTAACTGTCATGGTGAAGTCGGCGGTTTGTTCCTCGATGGGGCAGTAGACCGCCGATTCGCTGTGAACAATGAAACCTGCGTGCTATGCCATGCTAATGCACGCATCCCGCAGCTCGTTGTGGGTATTAATGCGGTGCTTGCCCGTGCCGCAGCGGAGGAGATGGTTCGGGAGGCGGGGATCTATGATAGCTACCTAATCCGCACAGTCACAGTTCTTGGGCGTTGAAAAGGGTAGACCCAGCCGAAACCGCACAGCATTCGCGAAGTGCACAGGGCCTATCCGTCTAGTGGCCTCAATTGGGATCGCAGTCAGCCAGTCCCGGGTGGCGTACCCAGTCAGCGAGAACATCCGCTGCGTGTGGCTAGAGAGAGGGTTCAGCTGCATGTGCCGAGTTGCCTGGACCTGCACAGCGTATCTGCTCCCGTGCACCTTCAAGCCGAGCACGTGCTGGAGCCTAACATCCGAACGCTCTAGCCGTTCCTTCTCTAGGATCTCTCGCGCGTCAAGAGGCAGGGCTGCTTCGCACTCCGTGAGCCACGAGTGTAAGGGGGTGTCGTCCTCCCTGGGCGCCAGCATGTGGTTCCTGGCCATCGTCAAAGCGCTTTCTGGTTCTAGCGCGAGGGAGGTGAGGAAAAGCGCCGCCTGGGTAAAGCTCGCAGTGAAACCCTAAATTCCTTCTATAAGCGGGTCCGTAATGCCTATGCCGCCCAGCGACGATGGCAACGGCGCCTGTTCCCAGACCCGCTTTTGCTCAGCACTGCATGTTGGTGCGCAGATGTCGCACGAGGTGAGTAAGGTAATGAGCAAGTCCCTGCCCCACTGGCTCCACGTGGCGCGAGGGAGTAAGTGGAGGGGGGTCGTCCTAATGAGGTAAGCTGCCCGCCTGGAAATACACCGCGTGAGGAGCAGTGCGGCCACCTGGGGGTCTGCTCGTTCTAACAGCGGTAACGGCCTCGCCATCTCTCCTAACTGGCCCGATAGAAACCCGGCTGCTCCAGCGTCTGTCCCAACGTAGCTACCTAGAAGCCGCACTCCCTCCTTGGAAAACGGCACCCCGGGCGGGAGATGATGCTGTGCGACTGCGGTTGAACTCCAAGCGGCGCATTTCTGGGGATTATAGGTCAGGCCTAGCTGCGCCAGTTTGGCTGTGAAATGCATGAAGGCAACTATAGTGCGTTCAGTGTCCCCCAGGAAGGTGACATCATCCGCATACGCCAAACAGAGTACGTTGGGGTGTGCTTCTGCAGTGTCACGAAGCGTGGGGTGTATCCCTACTGCAAACAGTAACGGGCCGAGTGGGTCCCCCTGCCGCACGCCCCGTTCACTGTGCAATGGGTCGCAGTTGAATTTCGCGTCCAGGAGTAGGTGCGACGGGTTACCGTAGGTTAGTTTCACAAACGGCTGCAGTGGCGACAGCTTCGGGTCTTGTAACGCTGTGGCTATGGCGTGTCGCGAGATGCTGTTGAAGGCGTTTGAAATGTCGGCTTGCAAAACTAGGCTGTTGGGGCGGGCATCCAGGCATGCCCTGGCTGTGTGGATCACCGTCTCTGCTCCACCTGGCACTGCCACGCCGTACTGTAGTGGCAGGAAATATTCACGGGCAGCTTCTCCCATGGCTGTCAAGGCTGCCTTGGCTGTCAACCTTGTCAAACACTCGCCTATCGCGATTGGCCGAGCCCCCCCACCAGGTTTGGCCAGGGCTATCAGCCGCGACGCCGTCAGTAGGCTTGCGACCGGGCCTAGCAAATTTCCTCCCAGCAGGGTGTTGACCAAGGCGTGCAGATGGGTGCTGATCATTGCGTTAGTGGTGGCCGCGTCGCGCATGTGCTCAAATGTTGTGCCCGACGGTTCGGCTCCCACTCCGTTCTTGCATCGCCCCAGAATCTTGGCGAACTCAGCATGGGTGATGGACAGTTTTGACTCGGGTGGCACAGGCCAAGTCAGCGCCCCGTGTACAGTAGGTGGGTGCTTCTGACGAAGCTCCTCCAAAATTTCCGGGCTGGGGGTGCAGACTGGCGTTGACTCCAGGGCCACCACGGCTCGGCGCAGGCTGCCACGTTTCGCGAGCCCCTCAGCTCGGCTAATGACCCCGCTCGCGTCAGGTTGGTGCCGTGGTGGTGGAGGTGTGTTGACTGCGTCCACCGTGTCTAGGTACAGCCGCTCCCACTCGCCACGCTGAAAGGCTCGGAGCCGAGCCTTGACCCCCGGCCAGTCTGGTCGCTGTGGCGAGGATTGGCGAAGTTTTAAGCGCGGGAGAAACAGCAGCAGGCGCCACCCCATTTCGGATTCAGGGTTTCGTGGGAGGTGTAGTAACGGTGTCAGAAGTGCTTGCAAAAACAGTTGGCACAAATTTGGCGGTAAACGCCATGACAGGGAAGGCTGTCGACTGTCACAGAGTGCTGCAATGTCCCAGTTCGCGATTGCCGCGAACAAGTCCTCACGCCTCGCCAGCTCGTCAGGCGAAAAGTAGCGGGGGTTCTGGGTGGTTTGGCGCGTCGCGGTATTGGCAGCGGCGGTTCGATTTTGGTGATCGCGGTTCGTCCGTGTTGGCTGAACTGGGGTTGGAATGCCATCCGTTCGATCTGCATCAGATGGTCGCTGATCCGCCTGAGGTACATCCACAGTTACTTGGCCCCCCTCGCCTGCTCCTCTCCCTTCTGATTCTCTCACCCTGCCTTCTCCCTCCGACTCATCGTCTTCGCTTGGTGGGAGGGATTCCTCCCTATAAGATGGGTCCCGTAGCTCTTCCTCTTCATTAGTTGCAGCCAAAGTTGTTAAAGCCATTCGCGCCGCTGCCTGGTACCCGTTCTCCGGACCCCCGCCTGTTCCGCTGGAAACCAGCCTCCTACCTCCGCGACCTCCCTGTTCCCCCGATGGTGATTGCCGGAGCGCCTGAGCCGTCGCCAGAGCGCGCTGCCGCCTGGTCGGCTGTCGTCGCCAAGCCTCCGTCGGGGCCCGAAAAGGCGACCATGGCGACGAGACCCCCTGTACCGCCGGCTCCGCGGCCCGTGACAACAGACGCTGAAAGGACTCCTCCCCCCGGACCCGCGGATCCCCTTGGCGTGGGCGGGGCAGGCCCGTCTGCCCCTGTCGCTGCCCCGCCTGCTCCGGCTGTTGCTCCTGTTCTCCCCACCCTCCATGTTGCGCCGATGGGCTCCGCTCCTACTGGGGAGGGTGCTGGTCATCCTGTTCCTGTTCTTGGCGCCCCCGTTGCGCCGGCCGCTTCTGTCCCCGCGACCTCTGTCGCCAAAGGAGGCGTCCGCCACCACTGGCGGCCCGATCCCGATGGTTGCGCCCCCAACGGTGGACCCGACTGCACCTGCTGTGCCGCCGACGACCCTGGAGGCGCAGCCGTCTCGTCCCCCGTCGCCGGACCACCGCCAATCTCGCCCCCATTCTCCCGCGCCCTAGCAGGAGCGCGAGTCGTCGCGGCGCTGGCGCAACTCTCCCCGGCGCTACCAGCAACAGGCTCAGTGGCCTGCTCACCGCGGTGGTCGTGGTGGGTGGTGGGGACCCCGCGGACGTAGTGGAGGTGCAGTTTTTGAACCGCCGGTGACAATGGCGGATCTACAGCGGGTGGTGTCTGATGCAATTACAGAGGGCGGCACAGAGCCAGGGCAGCTCGATGCACGCCGCGCCAGCATATGGAGCTCCTCGTCAGGCCCCGCTTCCTGAAACTCGCCCTCAGGCGGCGCCGCGTCCCCTACCTGTTCAAGCACCAGGCGCTCATGCTTCTGCTGCCTCGGCTCCTGCTCCTGCGTCGAGCCTTCAGTTGCCGCCAGTCCCGCCCGTGGCGGGAGTAGAGTTTGTGCCTGCGGGAGCAGGAGCGGCGACGGGGCAGTACCCTCCTCCCGTCGCGGGCGGCTTGGTCTCTCTTCCCGCCGCTGGCTCTCTTCCGTTTCTGGCGGAGGCACTTCAACCCCCGCAGGCCCGCGTTCCTGAGGCCGTTCTTGGCCAGTTGTTTCGTCTGGCTGAGAGCCTTCACGCCGTGCTGCTGATTCAGGTGCTGGCACATTCCTCGCTCCCCGCGATTCCCCCTGACACTTTTGAGGATCGGCCGCGTGATGTGGGCCTGGACGCGGCCGACCAGCTCGCGCAGCTCCTGGCGCCCGTGTTGGCTGCGCCCTCGGAGGGTGGCGTTGCTGCTGCGGGACAGCTCGACAATGCTGTCCGGGACTTGAGGCGACACTTGCGCTCAGGTTCTGGAGCCGCTGCGATCGGCGCAAGCACGCTTGTGGTCCGGGAGCTGTGGCGCTCTCTGACGGGCGTTCTTCACGCCCTTGGAGCTCACCGCATGTAGTTGCGGGCTCCGGTTGCCCCATTGATGCCATGCTTGTCTAGTTCAGAGTAGGAACCGCCATTGCCTGTATGTCCTTGCTTAGTGCCACTTGCGTGTGTTTGCGCTTGCGGAAGGCGGCCAGCGCGAGCGGAAAATTTTCAGCCGCCAACTGAATAATGAGAATAGGGTGCCAGGAAGGCCTCTTATAGTGCAAAGGAACCGAGTGCAGAGGCTAAGGGCCGAGGGCAGAGGCTATTCCTCTCTCTCTCTCTCTCGCTCTCTCGAACGAGCGGAAAATTTTCAGCCGCCAACTGAATCGTTAAACATGATGTCACACTTGAATTCGCAATCGTTATATCATCTCTCTCTCCCACACACACACACAGATTCTCTCTCTCTCTCTCTCTCTCTCTCTCTCTCTCTCTCTCTCTCTAATGGTCCGTGTATTGATATAGCAAAGGGATACAAGCATGCATGGTATAGACGCTAGAAATGGGGACAAGCAAACAAACAAACAAAGAACTATCTATCCGCCCATGATTGCCTATCTACACCTCCATGAGAGGCTCCAGGACCGCACAACTGTCCCCAAGGTGAAATTCGCCCTGCACCCCCCCCACCGGGGGGTTTTCTGCTACTGCCGCTTGACTGGACTTCATAAGGTAGCCTACTGACTGCGCTCTTTGCAGTGCACAGGACCACCGCTGCCGGAAGAGATGAAGGAACCTAGCTGCATGGAATGAGGTTGGTTGGGCGTTGAAGTGTCGCCTAGCAGCTGTTTCCGCCAAGAGCTTCAGGAATTGTGGAACCTCGGCACACGGGCACCCGTATGTCTCAACTGCCAAGGGGAAGAAGGTAACGGTGTCAGGGCAGCTGGCATAGTGGCTGATTTTCTTGTCGGCCTGCTCCCTGGCCGCCCAACCCCTCCCCTTTGTGGCCAGTGGATCCCTGGTGCTGATCGGGTCAGTGATGGTAACATCACAGATGTAAACTGCGCCCGAGCTCCTATCACGCAGGGTCAGGTCTGCCGTTTGCTCTTCCACCGGGCAGTATGCTGCAGATTCTCCGTGGACTATGAAGCCAGCGTCCTCTGCCATCGAGATGCAGGCATCACGGAGTTCGTTGTGAGTATTGATCCTGTGTTTTCCCGTCCCGCAGCGGAAGAGGTGGTTCGGCAGCCGAGGGTCGGTGATCTCTACATGTTTAGAACAGTCGCACTTCGCAGGTGTAGAGAAGGGAAGGCCTAGCCGAAATCGGACTGCATTGGCGAAGTGCGGCGGGCCTACACGGCGGGTCGGTTCTATGGGGAGTGCGGTTAGCCAGTCTCCCGTGCCGTAGCCAGTCAGGGAGAAGAACCGTTGTGTGTGACCTGACAGTGGGTTGAGACTCATGAGCCGTGTAGCGTGCACCTGTGTGGCGTATCTCCTCCCTTGTACTCTCACCCCAAGCTCGTGCTGCAGTTTCACCCCCTTCGGCTCTAGCCTTTCCTTGTCGAGTATGTCTCTGGCCTCTTGTGGTAGCGACGTCTCACATTCCGACAGCCAGCGGTGTAGGGAAGTTGAGGTATCTCGCGGCAAAAGCATGTGATCTCGGGCTTCTATCAGTACCTGCTCTGTTTCTAGCGGAAGGCAGTTGAGGAACAGGCTAGACCGTGTGAAACTAGCCAAGTATCCGAACTGCCCTTCGACCGTGGGGTCAATGAGTCCAATACCGCCCAGCGACGGCGGAAGTGAAGATTGCTCCCAAACCCGGCTCTGCTCTGTGCTGTCTGTTGGTAAGCGGATGCCACATGCCGTGAGGAGTGTGGACAGGAGGTCCATACCCCACTGTGACCATGTGTCGTGGTCGAGGAGGTGCAGTGGGGTTGTTCTAGTGAGGTAAGCGACTCTGCGGGAGATGCAGCGTGTGAGCAGAAGGGATGCTATCTGTGGATCTAGTCGCTCGATCAAAGGCAGCGGCTTAGTCATGGCCTGCAGCTGGGCAGCTAGGAAGGCGGCAGCGCCGTCTGGTGTACCTAGGAAGCTGCCTAGTAGTTTGACGCCTGCTTCACTTGTTGGTACCCCCGGCGGCAGCTGAACTGTACTGTCTATCGGGTTGCTGCTCCACGCGGCGCATTTCCCGGGATTGTGTCGCAAGCCCACTTGGGCCAGCTGGCTAGTGAAGTGGGAAAAGGCTGCGACGGCTTCACGTGGGTCGCCTAGGAAGCTGACGTCATCAGCGTATGCTAGGCACAGCACACCGGGGTGCAATGTTGCAGTTGCTCTCAAGGCAGGTTGGATCCCAGCCGCGAAAAGAAGTGGGCCTAAGGGGTCTCCCTACCGGACCCCCCGTTCGCTGAGTATTGGCGGGCTGTTGAAGTTGGCGTCCAAAAACAGTGGAGATGGGTTGCCGTAGGTCAGTTTCACTAAGGGCAATAGCGGGGATAGGGCGGGGTCCTGTAGTGCTGTCACTATTGATTGCCGTGAGATGCTATTGAAGGCGTTGGAGATGTCAGTTTGCAGGATGAGGCAGTTGGGGTGATTGTCAGTGTATGCACGTGCACAGTGTATGATAGCCTCTGCTCACCCTGGCACAGCTACACCGTACTGTAGCGGAAGAAAATAGCCACGCGCCGCTTCGCCCAAGGTCGCCAGTGCAGCCTTTGCCCCCAATCGCGTCAAACATTCGCCGATTGCTATTGGGCGAGCCCCCCCCTCAGGTTTGGCTAGGGCAATCAAGCGGGAAGATGTGAGTAATTCCGCGACTTGATGTGGCAGGTTTCCTTTCAGGATCGTGTTAACCAAGGCGTGGAGGTGGGTGGAGACGGATGCGTTTGTTACTGACGCATCGCGTAGATGCTCAAATGTCATCCCGCTGGGTCCGGCCCCCACGCCGTTCTCGCATCGGCTCTCGCATCGTCGGCCGGTGGGTGCTTGCGTCGGAGTTCGTCCAGGATTTCTGGACTGGGGGTACAGACTGGCGTTGACTCGAGCGCCATCACGGCTCGGCGCAAGCTCCCCTTTTTCGCCAGGCCCTCTGCTCTGCTGATGGTTCCCACGTCGTCTGACTGGTGACGTGGCGGGGGTGGTGTATTGACTGCCTCCACCGCGTCCAAGTACAGCTGTTGCCATTCGCCACGTTGGAATGCTCGGAGGCGGGCTTTGGTTTTGGGCCAATCCGGGCGTCTCGGCGAGGATTGACGCAGTGTTAGGCGAGGGAGAAATAGGAGTAACTTCCATCCCGCGATGGAGTCAGGGCTTCGCGAAAGGTGTAGAAGGGGTGTCAGTACCACGAGCGAGAAAATCTCGCACAAATTTGGCGGTAGCCGTCGTAACAGCGTGGGTTGGCGACTATCGCAGAGTAGCGAAATATCCCAGTCTGCCACTTCGGCAAATTTGTCAGCCTGCCTCGCCAGCTCCTCTGGCGAAAAGTAGCGGGGAATTTGAACCTGGCGAGCCGCACTCGCCTGCCCCATCGCGGTCCGATTTCCACGACCGCGGCCCCTACCACGAGTTGAAGGCGGGTTTGGAATAGGGGCCGTCCGATCGGCATCCTGCGGTCCCCGTGCGGCTCCTGATTGCAGAGGCGTTCCTCTCTGGCTTCCTCCGCCTTGTCTTGGTAATTGCTCCAACTCCTCGTCTTCCTCCTCGCTACTGTGCCTCCTCCCTATAAGAGGGGTCATTTCTCTCTTCCGGATCAGTATTCTCGTCTAGCTGTGTTAAAGCCCTACGTGCCGCCGCCTGGAACGCGTTCTCCGGCCCACCCTCGACTCTCCGTCCTTCACGGCGTCCTGTCCCTTGTCTCCTTCCGCCCCGCGATGGTGATTGCTGGCGACCCGTGGCCATCGCCAAAGCCCGCTGCCTCTGCGTCAAAGGTGAGCGGAAGGTCACCGCCCGTGTCTGCCTCGGGGAGTGCTGCAATGAAGCCGCCAGTCCCCCCTGCCCCGAAGCCAGCGCCCTCCGTCGCTGCGAGTCCGACTCCGGACCTCGTGTCAAATGAGGATCCGGCATCACTCCTGCCAGCCCCGTCTGCCCCTGTTGCTGAGCCGGTCCCTGCTGCGCTCTCCGCCCCTGCTCTGCCCGATGTCCCTGTAAATCCTGCGGCGCCGCCTGCTGTTGCTGATCCTGTTGATGTACCGCTCGTGCCTGAACTCCCTGCTGCATCGCCTGCCGTTGATGTCCCTGTTGCGCTCGATGCGGCCGTTGGTTCGTCGCCGATGGCGGTGTCCGCCACCACTGGCGGCCTGGGCCCGTTTGTAGCGCCAGCTGGCGTCGTCCAGGCGGCTCCTGTTGCTGCCCCTGCGGGTCCGCCGGCGGGCCAACGCTCCTCCCGCCCTCATTCTCCTGCGCCTCGTGAGGAGCGGGAGTCGTCGCGGCGCCGCCGTGACTCTCCCCGGCGCAACCGTTCGCAGGCGAACTGGCATGCGCAGCGTGGCGGTCGCGGGGGGTGGGCGGGAGGTCACGGCTATGGCGGGGGCGCGGCGTATGTTCAGCCGATCTCTCTCGCGGACGTGCAGCGTGTTGTCTCAGCGGCGATACGCGAGGAGAGGGCAGTGCAACGCCTTGCTCCTGCTCCCGCGGCTCCTCCTGCGGGCGTTCCTCGAGAGGCTGCGGCTCCGCCACGTCAGGCTGTTGCTCCCGTTCCTCTTGCCCCTACTCCAGGTCCCTCCGTCCCTGCCGCATCCGTTGCCGCACGTGATCGTCGCTTGCGGCTACCGTGGGTTCCTCCAGTGGCAGGACTGGAATTTGTGACTGCGGCAGGAGGAGCGGTGACGGCACAGTACCCGCCTCTGCTGCCTGCTGATCCCGCTCCCCCGTCTGTTCTTGATGCACCGATACTCCCGACCTTGCCAGGGCCTCCTCGCATGGCTGAGGTCCCGGAAGCGAGCCTGGCGCAGTTGTGGCGGCTCTGTGAGGCCCTTCGTGCCGTTCACCTGATCCAGGTGTACGGTCATGCCGCTCTGTTCCAGGGGAATTCTCTGGACGGAGGCCCTCGGGACGAGTGCCTCGATGCGGCGGATCGGCTCGTCGAGCTCTTGGCGCCCGTGTTGGCTGCGCCCGCACGGGGTGTAATTGCGGGTGTTGGGCAGCTTGGAACGGCTGTCCGTGGATTGAAGCGGGTCCTGCGCGCAGGCACTGGAGACGAAGTGATCGGCGCAAGCGCGGCGGTGGTGCGGGAGCTTCACCGCTCTCAGACTGGGCTTCTTGCGGTTCACGACGCGGATCAATACTAGGATCCGCCGGGGCTTCTTCCCCTGTTGCATTCTCTCGTTGCCTCATCATCACCCCTCTAGTAGAACTCCGCTCTTGCCATGCTTGTATCTTGGTGTTGAAGTTGATCTTGATTCGCCTTGTGTGCTTGTCGTCCCCTCACGCGCGGCCGGAGGCCGCGCTGTCGAGCGTCAACTGAACAATGAGATGAAGAGGCCCAGAGAGGCCTCTTATATAGCTCACAGAGGAGAGGGCAGAGGCTAAAGGGAGAGGGCAGAGGCTAGGATCCTCCCTCTCTCTCTCTCGCTCTCTCGAACGAACGAGCGAAATTTTCAGTGTGTACGTGCATCCATGTCCATCGATAATTGCATCAACAATGCATGTATGTGGGTCAGGCCCTCAGATTCACTTTTAGGGGCGTAGATGCACCAGGGTCCCTGATGAAAAAAAGGCTGATTTTCAGTGTCCCTAATCAAACAATGCCTGATTTCTCAGGGTTCATAAAGGAAAAACTCCGATATTCACCAACATGAATACCTTGAAACGATTCAGCCCTCGCCAATCATGCAGCCTAAAGGAATCGAACCCCAGATCTTACAATTCGCCAGTGGCTTTTCGAACAACTCAGACACTCCGAGCTGTCTGGAGGCGGTTTGTTATAGCAACAAACTTAGACCTGATCATCTCGAGCGTTTTTCAGAAATGATTACGAATGTGCATTCAGTGTACACTTCGACACAAGGCTGAAAACTCAGTGTTAACTATGAAATGAAGCCTGAAAAAACAGTCTCACAAAAATCTACACACTAAAAAATCAGTGTAGGTAAACAAAAATAGGCTGAAAATGAGGAATTTCAGGGAAAAAATCCTGATATCGTAGGGCCTGATGTGAGTTTAAAAAATGTGAAACAGGTCTATCATTTCATCAGAATGTTCATTGGCGCGCCTGTCGAGAGTGTTGAGTGCAATACACAGTTTGCATGACAACCTACCGCCTATTCGTTGTTGTTGAGTGAAAGTGAGGGTTTTCATTTCAAGGTAATTTGTTCTCTGTGCTTTGCGTTTCTGTGCTTACTGTTCATGAATCGCCTTGACGGTCTATGTGTTGTGTGCATTGTCGTGTAAGGTTGCATATGTGAGTGTTCGTGAATGTCCGTAAGTGATTACAAGACTTCGTGTGTATTTGCGTTGGTTCGCGAGTTGTCATGAGCGTGTGTTGATTTTATGTTCGTGAATTTCCGTGATGTTCGTGCGTTGCTCATGAATGTTTATAAGCGTTTGTGTCTGTTTCGTTTTCCTGTTTTCGTTTGTGTTCGTGAAGAGTCGCGGGTGTTCGCGAGTTAATTTAGTGGTGGTCAAGGTCAAAGGGCGCGAGAATCTTGACCGCGTGTTTGGTCTAGATTCTGTGCGTGGGCCCTCAGGGCTCGAGCGTGTGGCTCGCAATTGTTGCGAGCGTGTTGCAGTGCACTGTTGCGCGAGGGCACAAGGCCCATGATCGCAACAGACAGTGCACGTTCGTGCACTGTAAAGCACGACCGAAATATCGGTCGTGCTATGATTGCGCCGGCAGGGGCGCGCGTGTGTTTCGGGGGGTGCTGCGGGATTTCGAGGGGTGCTCAGGTTTGACTCGGGTTTGACTCAAGATTTCAGTTTTGTAACTGAATCTCGAGTCTCGTCATTTTATGTGCGTGGCACATAGAAACTTCGCGGGAAAGCAGCGCGCGTAAAAGGACAATTTCGATACAGGGAAAAACGGTGAAAAATCGTGAAGTAACTATAAGGCTTCGTGGAAAACGGCGAGAAACCGTTTTGTAACTGTGAACGTTCGTGATAACGGTAATCCCACACGAATGCTCATGATTGCGCGTGGGAAATAATGAATGTTCGCGAAGACAGTCAGTAGGGGAATTTGGCAGGAGTGCAGCTTGAAGTCAGTCATTTCCACAAGGCGAATCAAGCCAAACTCAAGCGCAGTTTCGTAACCATTTTTCAAGGGCAGCAAGAAGAAGTCATGAAGTCAAGTTAAACAACTGCTCAGTGCTTTCCCTATGCTTGCGTGTTAGACGAAATATAAATGCGTGCTTGTGCCTGGTTGTATCCATCCTTTGAGTGAATATTTTGCTCTATCATCGTATTGACGTGAAGAGCGATTCTACACACGAGCCATTCGTCGTTTCAACGCTGCGCAGGGATTCTTGGGAGTGCTCTAGTGCACACCGTTGTCTTCACACTTAGTGCGTCCCTCTACAAAACACGGACCCTTGGTTAGGGGCTGGCTTTGCCACGCACCCGAGGACCCTTGGAGGTGACCCCGTGGGGACTAACTAGTGTGAATTAAAGGACGTGCATAGAGGTCATAGATCTTATTAGTAGTAATAGAGAGCCCACGCGAACTGGATTTGATAGAGTTGACCATCTGTTTAGAGTTTACAGATTGTGTTGTTTTGTGTGAATTTTCATTGTTTAAATATTATGCGATTAGCTCCCCCCCAAGCTGCGCAGGGATTCTTGGGAGTTCTCTAGTGCACACCGTTGTCTTCACACTTAGTGCGTCCCTCTACAAAACACTGTTAGAATCTAAGAGAGAACAAGAATGAATGAACTAGCTGAAAGTTGGGTACAAGTAGGAAACCCTAAGTTTGTTGTACCCCCTAAGGCTAAACCCACTATAGCCTACACAATGTAAACATATAATGTTTGACACACCCCTATAGGCTAAGTGGGGGAGAGCAAGGGGTCACAAGACCAGTCAAAGCAAAGCAAAGCAAAACAAGCTCAGGGTGGATCTCAAGGATACCACACAAATTCCGAGCACAAGCAAGTGGTCACAAGACCAGTTCACATGCAGTTTGATAATATAACAAGAGGTACAGTGATCACAACCTAGCAAGTGTAAGCATGCAGGTATATATATAAAGATGAGCAAGTGAGGGAGAGTAGGTACAAGGCCTAGAACAGTACAGAAACGCAAATGATCACAAGGCTGAAGCGCCTTGGTGAACACATCAGCAGTGTTGGCCCGAGTGGCCGCGTAAGTAAGACGAAGCTGACCACGCTGCTGCAGCTCTCGAGCAAGGAAGTAGCGCAGAGCGATGTGCTTCGTTCTGTGCTCCAGTCTGTGCTCCTGACACAAGGCAAGGGCGGCCTTGTTGTCGACGTACAGCACTGGAGGAGAACGAGGCCGCTCTCCCAGGTCGGTTAGCAGGTAGGTGAGCCAGCGTAGCTCCTGGGCAGCCATGGCTGTGGCGTAGATCTCAGCCTCACAACTGGAGCTGAGAACAGAGGAAGAGCGTGTAGAACGCCAGGAAACAGAGCCAGAGCCAAGGCTGAAGGTGTAACCCTGAGACGACCGCTGCGTAGCCTGGTCGTCAGCCCAAGAAGCGTCTGAGTGTCCAGTGAGGACAACGTCGCGCCGTCCTCCAAGCACAAGCCCCATGCCCGACGTACTGCACAAGTAGCGCAACACCCTCTTAGCGGCATCCATGTGCTCCTTCCGGTGACGGCCAGGAGCGACATAGCGTGCTAGGATGCTAAGAGGGTATGCAAGGTCAGGTCGAGTGCAGGTCATCAGGTACATGAGGCAGCCCACAAGCTCTGGATACGGCCACTCGGCTCTACGGACTCATCCGAAGGCAGAGCTGAGAGCGAGTGACCGGTAGGCAGAGGAGTGGGCTGAGGCGAGGAGTACGTGAAGCGGAAGCGCTGAAGGACCTGCTGCACCATGTGTGACTGAGTCAAGGTGATGGTGCGCTGTGCTCTGTCCCGGGTGATCCGCAAGCCAAGATAACTTGTCAGCTCACCCAGCTCTGTGCACGTGTGTCTCTTCTGCAGCTCCGACTTCACGTGGGCGAGTGCCTCAGTGTCAGCAGTAGCAAAGACCAAGTCGTCGACGTACACGAGAACGTAGAACGGCGGCAGAGTGGTGTCAGTGCGTAGAAACAGCGACGGGTCAGCAGTAGAAGGAGCAAACCCAAGAGCCGCAAGTGTAGTCCTCAGTGTGTCGTGCCACTCACGGGGTGCCTGGCAGAGACCGTAGACTGGCCGCCGGAGGCTCCACTGGGTACCAGGAGGGAACGACCCAGTGAAGCCAGGTGGGCGGCGCAGCCAGATCTCCTCGTGCAGGCTGCCCTGTAGGAACGCAATGCTGAAGTCAAGAGAGTGGAGCTCGTAGTCACGCTGAGCAGCGACGTGCAGCAGAACCCGAAGAGTGGTCATCTTCGGGGTCGGGGAGAAGGTCTGGAAGAAGTCAACTCCCTCTCGCTGACTGAAGCCTCGAGCAACGTAACGCGCCTTGAAGACAGGCGGAGAACCCGGCGGCCGCTTCACCCTGAAAATCCACATGCCACTGACGATGTTCGCCCCAGGTGGGGGAACCTCGTCGACGTAGGTGCCTGTGGACTTCCAGGAAGCCATCTCTGCGTCCATGGCTGTCTGCCACTGAGAGGAGTAGAGACCCTCCATCGCCTCTGCGTAGGAGCGTGGGGTCGGGATGTCTGGTGCATCCGGGTCTCCCTCAAGGGCAATCAGCATGGACACGAGATGAGGCAAAGCAGCAGCAGAGCACTCAAACTCCTCATGTCTGTCCTCAAGGACGTCCGTGCCAAGAGCACACTCACCCCCGACGGACGGAGGACAGACAGACTCAGACTCAGCAACAAGGCTAGCGGCGTAGTCTAGACGACAGGTGGCAGCAAAGTCAACAAGCTCAGCGACTAGAGCAGACGCAGCAGAGGACTCAAAGGAAGGGTCAGTGACAACAGTGGCAAGGAGACGCGCGACAGTAGGACTGGCAGCACGAGCAAGGTCTGACGGCGGGTCAGCAACGTCAGGAAGAGAGGACGCAGGAGGAGACGGTAGAGGGACACGCTGTGGAGCAGTGGAAGGACGCAGGGTCATATAGTGAGTGCCAAGGACAGGAGGAGGACGCTCACGCGGAACACGACGACTAGTGCGGGCAGCGCGGACAGGCGACTCTGGACGAGACTCAGGAGACGCAGGACTAAACTCAGGCGACGGAGGACGA